TTTTTTTTTTTGTAATGTCTCTTTTGCTGTACAGAAGCTCTTTAACTCGATGTAGTCCCATCTATTTATCCTTGCCTTCACTATCATTACATTGGGATGCACCAATACTTTTTATGACTAAGTAATATTCCATCATTTAGCTAGTCCACCCTATGTTTTACCATTTTTCTACTGATGGATGCCTTTTGTTATTGTAGTATATTACTTTCATGATTAGTAAACTTGTAAAATGAAATTGTGAAATTGGAACAGATTGTCAGCAGCCTTGATAGTCTGGGGATCTGTGGCACCAACAGCAGCTATTTATATAAAACAGTTGACTTTATTTTATCCACTCAAGGAAAGGGAGGAAGAAGAGGATGCAGGACTGAGTCCCACATCCAACCCTCAGCTCAGGCTCCTCCACCTCTACAGAGCACTCACTTCCCTCCTCATGGGGTGGAGAGGTTGCCTCCCCCAGGAGTAGGGTCCCAGTGGGGGCAGGAGGGAAGGGAGGGTCTCAGGAAGGGCCAGGACCTCTCCTAGGGAAAGAGCGCCAAACCCATCAGGGAGTGTCCTTCCTCTCACAGTGTGGGGCCCTGCCAGGTGTCCAAGCATTTTGGCCTGTGTACCCCTTCTCTTCCCCACTACAGCTCTTCCGCCCCCACCCCCGCCTCCTGCCCCAACCCCCATTTCACCTCTCAGGAGATGTCCCGGAAACTGAGACTTCAGAGTGCCTACAGGGCAAGACAGGCTCAGAGCCTATTTGAGAGCCAGAACTGGAGCCCCCATCACTGGGAATTTGAGTGCTGCCACAGGAAACAGATGGATGGAGGGGGCTGGGAGCCCAGAGCAGGGGTTGAAGAACTGTGCAGTGTGGGAATGAGTTGGACGGGTGAAGGAAAGCTTCCTGGAGGAGGGGCTGTGCGCCTGTCCCCCAAACTGGCCACATCAGCTCTCATCCAGGTTCAGTCATAACAAATGTGTGTGACCTCAGTTTCCTCATCTATAAAATGGGGCTAGTAGTGACTGCCCTGTATTGTGGCAATGGAGGAGATGTCAGCCATAGTGATATGGGGCTGTGTGCCAGGCATTGTACTGAGACTTCATGTGCACTGGATTGCTATTCTATGGGGGACTGTTTGTGTCACTTTATAGCTGGAGATTCTGAAATGCAGAGAAACTGTGTTTTCTATCAAGGTCACTCAGTATGGTGGAGATGGTTTGAACTCAAATCTGATCAGCTTTAAATAACATACCTTTAGCCCACTGAACTTTAAAGTGTGCTCCAGAGACCGACTGCATTAACCAACAATTTTTAAATCTAATTCCTTAAAATTCAGTGTATTTTCTATTTTCACTTATATTTAGAAAAACCCTGTTAAATTGTTTTTGCTTTAAAGCCTCAGCCCAGTTCACACCAATGAGTCAGATCTGGGATAAAAGCCCAGGAATCTGCATTTTAAGACACTACCCGTTCCCCTGTAATGCTGATGCAAAATAAAATTTGAGATAACCCCAGTGGCTGCATTGTTCAGTCTCTCAGTCATGAATGGAAATGTGTTGTAAAAATTCAGTGTAAGCAGCTGTTGTGTTCACGTTGGCTGCGTTCCGCTAGCCCAGTTCCTCTTCACAAGTATAGAAGGAGAACCACCGTGACCAGAGGAGGGCGCTGATTCAGTACACACTGCTAATGACATTTTGGTTAACAGGAGACCACATATATGGCCGTGGCCCAAATAGGCTGGACCACATTCAGCCTAGATGTGTGGTAGGCTAGACCACCTAGCTTTGTTAATGACACTTTATGATGTTCACCCAAGGACGAAATCCCCTAGGGGTGCATTTCTCAAGCATATTCCTATCTTTAACCCATGTAGGCACAGCATGGGGGTGGGGAAGGTAAGGGAGGGGAGGTCAGTCTGAGCCCATGTGTCTGTGACAGCTGTAGTTCTCTAGCAGAAAGCACAGAGAACAGCATCAACACAAACCTGGGGGCGTGGCAGAGCCCAGGAGGAAATCCCCTGGAAACAGGAACTCAGATGGCACGCAGAGAACCAGAGCAGGAAAGATACATAGGAAAGACCCTCCGAGAAGCCCGCTCCCTCCTCCCTGAAGAGGGAGGTGTCTGGAGTCATCCCTAGCCCTTGCCACTGGAGTCTGCCCGCATTTCTCCAATGAGTGGCTCCTTTGCCAACCCCACAGATGGCTGCAGCCCAGCCCACTCCATCATGGATGGCTACTACGAGGACGCTGACAGCAGTTACCCTGCCACCAGGATGAACGGGGAGCTAAAAAATTCCTGTGAGTACCAGGCGGGCACGCAGCTGCGGTCTTCCCTCCAAGAGCCAGCGGGACCTGCCCATGGCATGTAGGTGCCCTCTGCCCCTCATGCTGTGGGGTCAAACCAGAGGCCCCAAAGCCCTTATTCTCAGTGGTCCCAGGTGCAGTGGAAGGGCCACCGGCAGGGCAGTCAGAAGCTTGAGCCCTCACAAGACTCGCAGTGACTGACCTTAGGCAGCGCTTATTCTCATGGAGACTTCAGTTTCTTTCTGCATAAAATGAGGCTTTGCTGGGTGCTGTGAGGTCCACCTGGATGCTGGAGATGAAGGCAGAATGACAAACGCCGGCTCGTCCAGCTTAGTCATTGGCTGGATACCCTGCTTTCGTGGACCCTCACAGTACCCCATTGGGTAGGCACTGCCGTGGGTCACGCCCATTTTACTTCAAGGAAGCTTTAAGAAGCAAAATGGGGGCCCTCCATGGTGGCCAGTGGGTTGAAGCACAGCACTATGAAGCCATCCGTAGCCACTACACGAGTTCGATTCCTTACCGGTGGTGGGGGGTGACCCACATGGCGAGTCGGACCTCTCCTGACCCTCCCGCTGCTCCCCTCAGCAGTGTGTTTTGGTGCATCTGCCTGTTCTACTCCCCACTCTCTACTCTGTCTCTAGTCAATTCTCTTACCTGTGGGCCTCTGGCCTGTACCCCAGTTCTTGTATACATAATTAAAAATAAACTTTAAAAAACAAAAAGGAAGCAAAATGGCCGAACCATTGGTAACTCTTCACTATACAGGTGGTCTTTGGTGATCACTGTGATCACACCTCACGGCCACCCTTCATGGTCCCGTTGGGAGAGGGTCATCCTGGAGCAGGCACCTCCAGGGCCATGGCCAGTGATTTGTCCTTCCCTGGGCCCTGCAGACAATGACTCTGATGCAATGAGCAGCTCCTATGAGTCCTACGACGAGGAGGAAGAGGAAGGGAAGGGACCGCAGCCCACGCACCAGTGGCCCTCCGAAGAGGCCTCCATGCGCCTGGTGAGGGACTGCAGGATATGTGCCTTCTTGCTGCGGAAGAAGCGCTTCGGGCAGTGGGCCAAGCAGCTAACTGTCATCAAAGAGGACCAGCTCCTGGTGAGTGACCACAGCCGTGTGCTCTAGCCTCACATGGCTCTGTGTGTGTGTGTGTCTGATGTGAGGAGCTGTGTACTCAGGCTAGCCACCCTCAGACCTCTGGTCTTGCTCTGTGTTTTGTGCACTGTGTAAGAAAATTCCAAGAAACCCTAAGCCTGTGCTTTAGAGATTGAGGTTTTCCCACTCAAGCAGAATTTGAATGAATGAATAAATAAGTAAATAAATAAATAACCCATGAGTCAGTAGGGAACAATTCAAAGACCTGATATAGACTTTGCCAACTTTTGATCACTTTCAGACAAGTTTTTTTTTCATGATTCAGGTAAATATGTCTATTTATAAACCTGGAGAAAAACAAATGAAGATGATGTTTTTAAAAAGCTACCTCTGGCCTTCCCTGGTGGCACAGTGGGTTAAAGCACAGCACTAAGAAGCTAAAGCGACTTCAGCATGAATTCAATCCCCGCCCCGGAGGTGACCACATGGCGTGGCAGACCTCTCCTGACCCACCCGCTGCTCCCCTCAGCAGAGTACTTTGACGATCTGCCTGTTCTGCTCCCCGCTCTGTCTCTGGTGAATCCTCTCACCACTCCTGTGCCTCTGTTCCCCAGTTCTGCATGCATAAATAAACAAACCTTAAAAAAAACTCTCTCTAATTCCACTGACCAAGAACCAACCATGCTTATGTTTAAATATGCATATCTCCATTTCATACATTGCCTAAAATTCAACCTATATACTGCTTGTTATTATAGAACTTAATCTTTTTTAAAGATTTATTTATTTATGCATATAAGAACTAGAGTACAGGCCAGAGGTGCAGGGGGTAAGAGGATTCACCAGAGACAGAGCGGGGAGCAGAACAGGCAGATTGACTGAAACACACTGCTGAGAGGAGTAGTGGGTGGGATAGGAGAGGCCTTTCACACCATGTGGGTCACCTCCCTGGCCAGGGACTGAACTCACACTACAGTGGCTGCAAATAATGTCACAGTGCTGCATTTTAACCCATTGCACCACCAGCCAGAACTTAATTTTTTATGATTTTAAAATTCACTATCTCTTACTGCTAGCATTGAATAAAAGAAACCATACTCTTAATTCCAAAATGGGAGGAAAATTTCAAGAAAAAAAGTGGTAGTTCCCTTACCCAAAAATCCATTGATGCACCTTACCCAACAATCCCTTTGAATTGTGGCCCTTTCTCACCTGTAGTAGTGGAAAGCAATCCCAGGCCAGACCTCTTAAAGTCATAACTTAATCTCTTCATTTTTATGCCTTTATGTTTTTTCTTGCCTATGGCACTGGCAAGGACTCTAACAAATGCAAATAGAAGTGGTAAGAGCAGATGTCCTTGTCTCAATTCAGTCCCAAAGGGAAGTTTTAAACAATTGACTATCAAGGCTGATATTTGCTGTGAGTGGTTTGTAAGGGTGCCCTATTATCACATTAAGGAAGTGTGCTTCTGTTCCTACTTTACTAAGAGTTTATATTACAAATGGGTTTGGAATTCTGTCAAATACTTTTTCTGCTTCTGCTTCTATTGAGATATGTGGTTTTTCTTTTTTCTTTTTTTTTTTTCCTGCTACTCTGGTGAATAATAGAGTTGGTTTTTGAATGCTAACCCACTTTTGCACTCCAAGAATAAGCCCCACTTTGTCCTGACATGTCGTTTTTGATGTTCTGGATTCTCTTCACTAATATTTTGTTTAGGGCTTTTGCAACTATAAGAGATTAGTCTATAATCTTTTTGTAATGTCATTGTCATAATCTGGTACTAAGGTAATGCTCACCTCAGAATAAAATTTGGCAAGTGGAACCTCCCTGGTGGGACAAGGTGTTAAGTCTCATCACTACCAAGCTGTCAGCAGCCACTGTAGCGCCAGTTCAGTCCCACCAGGGAGCTGACCCACATGGCACAGCAGACCTCTCCAGTCTCCCTGTTGCTCCCCTCAGCAGTGTACTTCAGTAGATCTGCCTGTTCTGCTCCCCACTCCATCTCTGGTGAATACTTTTACCTCCTCTGCCTCTGACCTACACCCAGCTCTTTTATGCATCAATAAATAAAATATAAATCTTAGAAAAAAAAAATTTGGGAAATGGGGGTTATTATTTACCAATGATTTCCCAAACCCAACCCTCCCTATCTGCTAGAATCCTCTCTCTCACACATTCCTGCCATGTAGCCCTTGGGCAGGGGGTTGGCTTCTTCCCAAGCCAGCCTGTTTCTTCTCTGCTGTAAACAAGCAGCATGCAGAATTCTGCTAAAATCTGCCTCTTCCTAAACAGGTAGTGGTGACCCTGAGGCCCCTTTGTAGCCTTTGGAATTTGAAGATTACCCAAAGGTGTCCCCTCTCAGTCTCATCGTTGCCAGATTTCTCTCCTTTGGGGTGAACTGCCACAGCCCCTGTCTTCATGTCGTGCACCCCCACTGAGCTAGGTAGGGGATGTCTCTGAGGGTGTGTCTACACCTCCGTCCTCTACCCTCCCCTCCTGCAGGCCCTCACCCCTTCTCTATCTTCCAGTGTTACAAAAGCTCTAAGGACCGGCGGCCACACCTGAGGCTGGCCCTGGACACCTGCAATGTCATCTACATCCCCAAGGACAGTCGGCACAAAAGGCACGAGCTGCGCTTCTCCCAGGGGGCTGCCGAGGTCTTGGTGCTGGCTCTGCAGAGTCGGGAGCAGGCCGAAGAGTGGCTGAAGGTACAGAGTACAAGCTCTCTCCCACCTGCCCTCTGACCCTTCCTCCCCCTCCCCAGTGCAGAGGGCTGCTGTCCCTGAGAAGCAGGCTGCGGTCAGGATGGACTTGGTGACTTATGTCGGGCTAGGGCTGATGTGTAGAAATGGGCCTTGATGTTTCCTGAGACAGGAGACAGAGCTCGGGCTGGAGAACTATGCACCTTCAGGTGATTTGAATCTGCTCCCCAATATCCCCACTGTCGACTTGTCCAGCTTGTACTTGTATACTCCCAGGAATGGGGAGCTGATTACCAACAAAGCAAGCTGATTTTATCATTAGGTCAGCAAATCCTTTTTCTTTCCCTTTGGAAAAATGCCTTCCTGGACTTTGGCGAAAGGTGCACCTCTGTCACACCCACTGGTGGTCCAGCTTCTGCATCCAGAACGACTAGTTACCCCCACTGAGTGTGTGTTTGTGCCACCGGTTGTGCTAAGAGCTTTACTCTGTGACCTCATTTACCCTTCACAATGGAGCTGTTATTGTTCCCACTTTACAAGTGAGGAAACTGGGGAACAGAGAACTTACTTGACTTGCCGAAGGTCACACCACCAAGTGGCTGGATTCAGGAGTAGAAACCAACTGGGAACTCTCCCAAGGCCATCGGCAGGGAGGCCATGATGAAGACGGAGGACTTGGCAGCACACAGACAAGCTCACGGCCCGGGCCAAGCAGCCCTTACTGGCCCGTGATCTTCTACAGGTGACTTCGCCTCTCTGGGGCTCCTCTCCTCTGTGAAGTGGTTGGCGTAAGGATGCTAGAGAGCACTTGGCACAGGGCCCACGAGGCAGTCGGCACACCGCGGCTGTCAGCAAGGCTGTGTGAGGGTGTGGCGTGGCCACCTGGCCCTGCCTCAGGCCTCCATCCCCCTATCCTGCCTCCCTTTCACTCGGATACTGTTCCTTGGCCCCCTCTGATTTTCCTGCTGGAACAAAGAAACCAAACACCTCCCTCTGCTTCCTCCCTTCCTTCCTGTGATAACCAGCTCTCCCAGGAATGTCCAGTGTTTCCCATCACTGCCTTTGTCTCAGGAGGGGAAGGAAGAGAAAGAACCAGCTCACTGGGGGTGTGGTGGGAGGAGGGGACCTGTGCTCCAGGGACCCCTGAGTCAGAAGGAGCCCTAGACCCAGAGTTAAGAGACCTGTCTTGGTCGCCCCCATCCTGAGACACCATCTGAGACGCCCAGAGTTTAAGAACCGGTGATCTGGCCTCTCTGCTGAGCGTCATGCTCATTTGTACCTTGGGGGGTCACAGGGTCATGTGGTCTCTGCCTCCCAGGCTGCTGTGGGGTGCAGTGGAATAACCCATGCAGAGGCAAGTGAGAGGTAAGCCACAGCAGAGGCCATTATTTTTACGATGTGGAAGCATATGCTGCCTACCTGACCTTAGCCTTTGAGTGCCCAAATCACTGAAATGGAGGGATATCCAGCCGCCCACCCTGGCGTCTGTGGTGGTTGCAGAAGCCAGCCCATCCCCCTCACATGGGCATCCAGTGATCACCCATAATCTCACTGGTCCCCAGACACCCAAGGAGATGAACAAACAGAGGACCAGAAACACCCCCAGAGGGTAGACAGGGAAACCGGGCCCCAGAGCAGGGGAAATAGCTTTCCTAAGGCCACACTGCAGGCACAGAAGCCAAGCTTCTTAGTTCCCAGACCCAGGTCTTTTCAGTTCAAGTAACAGGTTCAGGAGAAGACCTTCCCAAACCCTGACACTCCCTGACCGGTGTGGCTGGAGATGACATCAACCCATCTCTTCTGCCCCCTGATCTCCCTCACCCCCCACTCAATGGCCCAGACCACCCACATCCTGCACGGCATTCCTGCCCACCTGCCCACAGGTGTGTGTTCCCTTCCCCAGGTCATCCGAGAGGTGAACAAGCCCGTCGGAGCAGAGGGAGTGGACACACCCAGATCTCCAGTCCTCCTGTGCAAGCTGGACATGGAAAAGGTATCTCTGTCTCCGGGGGGCTCCTCTGGGTCAGAAAAGGGGAATCAGCACTGTCTGTGCCCCAGTGGCATCCTATAAACCCCAAGTGCCCAACACAGAGCAGGCACAATGGGAGGAGCTCAATAGAAATCTACTGAGTGGGTGAATGAATGCCCACGTGCAAGGAGCAGTGCAGGTGGGGGAGGGGTGATGGCCCTGCCAGGAGAGAGGACGCACATTTCAACAGAGCCACGAAAAGTAAGTTGAAAGTCGTCTGTCACAGGACGTGCTGTGTGGAGCTTTAGTGAAAGGCTCATTCGGTGACTGGTCAGACTGTGGGCAAATTCAGGCTGGTGCTTCTGTTCTGCCAGGTGCTGTGGGTGAGAGGATTTGCCCAGACCCTAGGGAGAGGCTGAGGCCCTCACACAGGGGCTTTGCATAAAGGCTAGCTTCTGTAGCAGAGGCTGTGTGGCCGGCACTATCCTTAATGTGTCACCTCATTTAACGACTCTGCCCTTTAATGAGTTACATTTTCAGATGAGGAAGCTGAGATACACAGAGATTTGCCCAGAAACAGAGCGAGGGTTTATACCCATACAGCCTGGCTCTTGCTGACGTCACCTCTGCCTCTCAAGGGGCCAGCCTGAAAGTTGGGCCCATGGCTGTGAGCATCCTGTGAGATCCTAACAAGCAGATAGGACACCAGCCCTCCAGCGCTTCTAGTCTCAAGCGGGTCAGACCAGATTCAAATCAATACACAAATTTAGAAATGCCAAGCTGCATAAATGCTGGAGGGGAAGGTCCCAGGTAATCAGAAGTGGATGCAGGCAGCCTGCTCTTTCCTCAGGGGCTGGGGAAAAGCATTCTCAAACTCTTCAGATGGGCTGAAAACATTCCTAGAATGGGGAGGGAGAAGGGGCCAGGCCCTGGCGGGGAGGGGGAGGGCGCGGGAGTGAGGGGCTGCCCCTGCTGGCTGGGGGTAGGGAAGATGTGTGTGCTGGAGAAGCTCAAGCTCCCCTCACTTGATGGGGCCTGAAGGAGAGCAACATTGTGCATGTGTGTGCCTGCAGATTCACCTCATGGGCAGCTGAAGGGTGTGTGGAGAGGAGGATGAAGCAGGCTTCTAGAGTTGGGCTTTCCTGTGGTTGAATGTACCAGGCAGGGTAACTCAAATACCAGGTGGTCTTTGGGAGGGTGGTGGGGGTGGGGACATGGTAATGGTGGATCTGCCTGTGATCACCGGCAAGTGAATTCCCAAGTGCTCACAGTGTCTGTTTGTATTTTCCTATCTGGAGGGAAAACTTACCATCTCTACACAGATGCAAAACAAATAGAACCATAACTTCTGTTTCACAAGGATGAGTCTGAATTCATGTCTTGACCTTTCTATCCCATTTCTGAAAGTTGACATTTTTCTGGGGTTTTGGAAATTGAAGGGAGCACTGTCCTCCCAGCTCCTCAGTGCTACACGTAAAGCCAAGGACCCTTAAGGGTGTTCTGAGGAATCCCTAGCTGGAGAGATCTCAGGGTCTCAAGCTCTAAACTTTCACCTCTGTAGGTGGGTGGGTGTCATTGAAATCCTGGCCAAGTTTTACCACACAGTTGAGCTTCAAAGTGAGATGCAGCACAGCTGGGAGGCATGAGAAATGAGAGGGCTCTCGGCTGCCACACTTCTCAAGGGCTGGCTCCCTGGAGCCCACTAAAAGAGTGTAATTCGGACCCTCCCTTGTGGCACCGCGGGTTAAGGCACAGCACTAAGAAGCTGTAGCAGCCACTGCAGCAGAGTTTCAGCCCCAGCCAGAGGGAGCTGACCCACATGGCGCAGCAGACCTTTCCTGGCCAGCCCACTGCTCCCCTCAGCAGCGTACTTCATCAGTCTGCCTGTTCTGCTCCCCATTCCGTCTCTGGTGAAACCTCTCACTGCACCTCTGGCCTATACCCCAGTTCTGTATGCATAGTAAATAAATATTAAAAAAAAAAAATAAAAGAGTGTAATTCACTGAGCCTTGGAAAGATGAAAGGATTTTCCCACCTTCCCACAGCAACTAGATCTTGCTAGAAACTTCATCTTTTCCTCAGTCTACATGACATCTCTGCACCACCCCATGGCACCCATGGGTGCTCAACTGAATGAATGAACCTGCATCAAGATAGCGTTGGTGGGGTGAATGGCCGCCAAGGCTGTGAGCATGTGATCCTCTCTCCAAGCTAAGATCACGGTGCACTGTCCTCTCTTGACAGTCTCACAACCTTTCACCATGTCCTATTGGAAAGTGTCTGCCGCCTCATCTCTGTCTCTCCATTCTCACTGTCACCTTGGTTGTCCTCTTAGTGAGACTCACTTGTCCAGGGTGACCCTCTTATTATTATTATTGTAGTTTATTTTTACATCATTTTGTGCCTTTTCCCATCTCAGTTGTAATCCCCGTGGGCTTCCCATCACCAAATCACCCGTGTGCCATCACCATAGTCCAGTACACTTTCCTCCTCTCCCACCCCCTCGCCTTTATTTTGATCCCATTCCCCACTCTGCCCCTGTAAAATGTCTCTGGTATATAGCTGTTCATTATTATTATTATTTTCTCGCCTGGTCCTTTATACTCCTGCTATGAGTGAAACCATCCAGTATTTTTCTTTTTCTTTCCGGCTTATTTCACTAAGCTTATCAGGGTGACCCTCTTTTTTTTTTTTTAAGATTTATTTATTTATTCATACAGAACTGGGGTACAGACCAGAGATGCGGAGAGTGAGAGGATTCATCAGGAACAGAGTGGGGAGCAGAACAGGCAGATCAACGAAGTACACTGCTGAGGGGAGCAGCGGGCGGGTCAAGAGAGGTCTGCCATGCCATGTGGTCACCTCCGGAGCAGGCGGGGATCGAACTCATGCAGAATTGGCTTAAGCTTCTTAGTGCAGTGCTTTAACCCGCTGCACCACAGGGAGGGCCCAGGGTGACCCTCTTTTAAATGGTTCTCTACTTTCAGCTATGTCCCCTCTTATCTGTTCCATGATGCCACTGGGACAACTTCCTAAGTCCATCGTGTTGCACTGGCATCCCACTCAGTGCCTGCGCAGCTCCCTGTCACCTGTCAGTGACTTCTAGGGCACTGACCTCAAGGCATTAAAATTAATTGTTCTGCCATCCAAATAGACTATGAGGAACTCAAAGACCCAACCACCCTACGTCACTGCTGTCCCCCAAGTGACCCCCTGGCGTGGTCCTGGTAGGACTCAGCACCTCCTAGTTGTTTGAGTCTACTCCAGCTTGTTAGCTAAGTATTATGTGCAGACTGAGCTCAGGGGTGGGGCGGAGGGGCTCTGGCTGTGCCTCTGATGTGGGGCTGTCTGTTCCTTTTTAGAGACTGTCCCAAGAGAAGCAGACCTCAGACTCTGACAGCCTGGGCATGGCTGACAACTGCTCAAGTCTTGGCCGCAGAGAGGCCAGCGAACATGGTAGGAGCTTCTGGGGGCTCAGGTATGAGAATGCCACTCTGGGCGAGACAAGCTGGGCAGGCAGAGCGCGTGGGGACTGAGCACTCGAGCCCGACCAAGGTGACCTGTTCATCCACAGCTGGAACTGTGGACCAGGCCCTGTGTACAGGCTGACAGGGTAGGAGGCTGCAGTACATGGATCTGGGCACTGGGGCTCCCGACAGTCCCTGACCCTTCTCTATGGTAACAGGCAAGGGGAAGAAGAGCAGCCTGGCAGAGCTGAAGGGCTCCATGAGCAGGGCCGCAGGCCGCAAGATCACCCGCATTATCAGCTTCTCCAAGAAGAAGGCGCTGGCGGATGACCTGCAGACGTCCTCCACAGAGGAGGAGGTTCCATGCTGTGGTAGGTGCCAGAATTCAGGTCCCACCCTTCCGTCACTTCTCTCCATGAGGCCCTAATTTCCAGCAGAACCAACCACCTGATCCCCTGACTTTGCACCCCCTGGGACATGGGTCCATATCAATGCAATGGTCCACGTATGAAAAATCCAATAGAAAAGTGTATGGTTTGGAACTGCAGTACTAGTCTGATAACCCTAAAAGAAAAAGTTATATGAGAACATGACTATTAACAAATACTTTGCATCCAATGAATACAGGCTTTAGTGGGAGAAAATAAATTGAAAACATTTAGAGGAATTGAGGAAATTCCTCCCCCTGGGCACTCTGGTTTTACAATTCCTTATCTCAGCTAAAAGTGTTTGTTCCCACACGCTGCCACTGGTGTCAGGATCAGCCAGTCTGTCAGTAGCAGTTTTGGTAGTTGGCGGGGAAGAGAGAAAGAGGGAATGTGGAAAGGAGGCTCAGTGAGACATCTGGTCTCACTCTGGGTTCCAGTTTCCTCTCTCTGACGTGCCCTCAGGTATAGATGTAATCAAGTCAGAGACTGGAAACGAACCTAGAGGGAGACCAAGGTGTCTCACCGAGCCCCTCTCCAGCTAGACACAAGGGTTCTCCCTGCCACCCCCACCCCCAGAGTTTTGTCCTGGTCTTTGTCCCCCCAGGGTGTAGACCTGCCTTCAGGCTTCACCCCCTCACCCCCATGGGTTTTCCCAGGGCCAGTCAGGATGGTCTTCCCCTCTCACATGCTAAATAACAAAAATTCAACCAAGATGATTTTAAAGATCGAATTGACTTCATTAAACATCTCTTGGAAAGGGCAGCATCTCTGTAGTAAGTAGGCAATTCCAGAAAGCGCCACAAAATGAAAGGTTTTATAAACAGAGAGAGGGTGAGGTAAGAGAAGAGGGTCATGTCATACTTCCCATACGGAATGAAGAGGAGGCCATCTTGCCTTCCTCTGGGGAACAGAAAAGGTAGCTTGACGGTACTGACCAGAAACGCCACATACTTACCAGTCAACACTCCACCCACCACTGGGGGAGGTTGAGGGCCAGTTAGGCCGGGGAGGGCTGGGTGAGCCGCCCGGGCCTGTGGTCTCTCCCACAGGCTATCTGAACGTGCTGGTGAGCCAGGGCTGGAAGGAGCGCTGGTGCCGCCTGAAGAGCAACACGCTGTATTTCCACAAGGACCGCGCAGACCTGCGCACCCACGTGAACGCCATCACCCTCCGCGGCTGTGAGGTGGCCCCGGGCTTTGGCCCCAGGCACCCATTTGCCTTCAGGATTCTGCGCAACAAGCAGGAGGTTGCCATCTTGGAGGTGAGAAGGGACAGCCTGGGGTAACTGGTGGCTGGAGCTGAATGAGCGGGGCCTGGGCTGTGGGTGCTATCTGGGGAATTGCACTGGCATTATGGAGCCAGAGGAAGTGGGGGGGGGGGTTTCCAACTGCTGCCTAGTGACAGAGCAGGGTCACTAGGTCAAATATAAGCTACTTAGGCCTACCGGGAGGCACAGGGGTAAAGTCTCTGTGCTTTAAAACTGCCACCAGCCATTGCCACCAGAGTTGGAGCCACAGCCAGGGAACTGACTCACATGGCACAGCAGACCTCTCCTGTCTTGCCTGCTGCTCCCCTCAGCTGTGTATTTCAGTCAGTCGGCCTGTTCTGCTGCCCTCTGTCTCTGGTGAATCCTCTCACCACCCCTGCACCTCTGGCCTGTACCCCAGTTCTGTGAGCATAAATAAATAAAATTTTAAAAAAAATACAATACAGGATACTCACTTACATTTTTGAATTTCAGATAAAAAAGTAAATGTTTTTAACTGGAGTTAACCCATGCAATATTCAGAACACACCTATACTGTAAATTTGTTATCTGAAATTCAAATTTGACAGAGCATTCTGCATTTTTATCTGCTAGCTCGGGCAACCCTGGGACCAAGTTCTGTTTATCCTCCTTCATTTTGAAATCCCAAGCCTGGAGGGCATCTCATCTGACTGTACCCCAGAATCTCCTCTCAAAATGTCCCCCATAGCTGTCACGCTCAGGTCAGCTGCTGCCCTCTCTCCCAGGGAGCTGGCCCCTGCCATCAGGCAGCTCTGCGTTTTAGGAAGCTTTTGCCCATATTGAGTTGCGATCTTCAAGCTCCACACCTGTTCCGCCCACTTGTGTTTTTCGAGAAGCCAGTGTGATGTCAGACACATACAAAGAGCTTGGTTAACGTTCAATGAACAGATGAATAATGCATATGCACTCCCTCATCAGCCACCCATGGCTGCCTGGTGACACCAGCACTCCTCTCTGGGGCCACCAGAATATGCTGAGTGTCCCTTCTCCATGAATATGCTGAGTGTCCCTCCTCCATGTCAGTCCCGCGACTATTTGGAATTTAAAATGTTCACACTGGAGGAGTACCTAACTACCACTCATCTTACAGATAAGGAAACTGAGGCCAGGGCAGCCAAGTGCTTTGTCTGAAGCTCTACCGAGGTTGTCCTAGAATTGAAATCTGGCCTCTTGCTCTTACTGGCTTTGCCAGCATCCACTGCTTCTCTCCATTCTTCAATTTCAAGAAATATTTCCTCTGTCACTCTTATTCTTGAGCGTTTGAGATGAGTTCCTTGCCTCTTCTAAATTCTATACAGCACTTTCTGGCAAAAAAATGTGATTCCTTTATTCAAATTTAGCAATTGCATGCTAAGTTGATTTTATAGTCACGCTGTTTACATGAGAATTAACTTAAATGTGTTTAGTTGACCAGTAATCCTTGGAGATTTTCCTGCACATGGTACTTTATTGTCAACTATGATTTTTTTTTAAAGATTTGTTTATTTATACACACAGAACTGGGGTATAGGCCAGAGATGCAGGGGCGGTAAGAGGATTCACCAGAGACAGAGTGGGGAGCAGAACAGGCAGATCAACAAGTACACTGCTGAGGGGAGCAGCGGGCGGGCCAGGAGAGATCTGCCATGCCATGTGGCTACCTCCAGGGTAGGCGGGGATGGAACTCATGCTGAAGTGGCTTTAACTTCTTAGTGCTGTGCTTTAACGTGCTGCGCTACCAGGGAGGGCCTATAATATTTTTTTAATGTATTCGGTTATGTGAGAAGTAGCCTCCTCTAATAAAAAAAAAAACACCTCAGAAAGGCCAAATGCTGTGTTCACACCTAAATGCCTGGGGAGAGGCTCTGACGATGAGTGAGGTGAGTGTCTAGAGAGGAAGTTGGGGAAGGCCTCCCAGAGGACATGCGTTAGAGCAGGGGCCACCTGAATTTCTGGATGTGTGTTATAATCTCGTTCCTGTTGGGCCCCTAAGCTTTGGGTACTCGATCCTGTTTGACAGGCTATGGTATAACATAATTTAGCTTGGGTTTGGCTGAAGTGAGCAGAGCCAGAGGTCCTGGCAGTGCCGAAGCGGACTTGACCTATACCTGTCTCTCTCAGGCGAGCTGCTCCGAGGACATGGGCCGCTGGCTTGGGCTGCTGCTGGTGGAGATGGGCTCCAGGGTCACCCCTGAGGCGCTGCACTATGACTACGTGGATGTGGACACCTTGACCAGTATCGTCAGCGCCGGACGCAACTCCTTCCTGTAAGGGGCTGCACTCCAAGACCCAGGGCTTTCCAGAACCTACTTGTCTCTGCTCCCCTCACAGGAGCTCCAAGTCCTGCCTTGGGCATGAACAGGAGAGTGAGGAAGGACAGAGAGAGAGTCTCTTCTTTGGGAAGTGAGGGGTGGGGTGTCTGCCTTTCAAGCAGGCAGGAGGGGCTGAGGCAGCGCAGGGTCGGGGCATGCTGTGGATGGAAGGAGCAGCTGTAGAGAAGTCCTTCTGCATGGTGACCTGGGCTCTGCTCTCCTGCCCCTAACGTCATAGGTCCGGTGCTCTTGGACTCGGACCTGAGTGGGGTGGTACATGGAGTTCAGCTTGGGCTGGTCACCTGCCAGTTTGGAGCCTGTTTTCCAGAGTGGGGGTGCTGAATTAGCTGCTTCTCAGCATGCAGAGCCAGGAGGCCCAGCCCATGAAGCCCTCGACACAGCAATGGCCATGCTCCCTGGCAGGGAGGTGATTACTGACCTTCCAACCTCCGTTCTTCATTAAGAGCTGCGGCCAGAATCAAATGAGAGAGTGGGCAGGAAAGCACTGTAGCTGCAACACTTCAGCCCTCATCACGCCTTGTATTTTCTAGATATGCAAGATCCTGCCAGGATCAGTGGCCTGAGCCCCGGGTCTACGATGACGTCCCTTATGAGAAGGTGCAGGTATGGTCCCTGGGGCTGCTGGGAACGTGGCCCTCTCCGTCCCCCTCCCTATGGGTGCCTTCGCCACAAGAGACCATTTTCATTTCAGCAGCAGTGGGGGTGGGGGAGGGGTCTCATCACAGACAGTCAGGGCAAGGCCTCCCTAGCACGGGAAGTTAGGACGTAAGGGCTCTGTGAGCAGCACACTTCTCCAGTTGGAACCAGGCATTGGGCTCTATGCCTCTGTTTACCCATCTGTGATCCGACTGATTCAGTGGAATCTTGGGGGTGTGCTAACTGGGTCACTGGCATAGGCACCCACAGTCAAGGCTACAGCCCCAGGATAGCTTCCTGTCTTGCTCACTAAAGCAAGGAGATGCCCTTTATTGATAGTGAGGCTTCATGTGATCCAGACTGCTCCTCCCCCTGGGGGCCAGAGAACCACACTGACCAGATGCACTTGTGGGGCAGGCCTCACAGCCAGGGGAGTGGGAGCCAGGCTGCCAGGACAGCAAACACATCTGCAGGCCAGACCTTTGCCCTGGACGGTGCTGGGCGGACACTCTGAGTGTCAGTGCTGGGACTCGCGGTCATTGTTCAGACTTAGATGCCAGTATATGCAGCTTGAGATTTTTCAGTTGCAGAGTCCAGTTCTTAAGCTAGTGCTTAAGAATATGACCCTGGGAGTCAGGGCTGAGTTGAAGTTACCTTGGGCTTCACTTCTCTGGTCTCCCTTGCTGGTTCCACAGACATAGGATAAAACCTACTTGAACGGGTTGAGGCAAGAATCGAACGAACTAGAGTACTTAGCACAGGGCCTGGACAGCAGGACTTACAACAGAGTAAATAGTATTGTTGTTTTCAAGATCATTACTCTATTACATTGTTATCATGTTCCTCTCCTGGTTTCCTGAGCCTTGATGGATTTTACATTAACATTCTTCATTTGTAAACAGCCAGCCAGTCAACTAGTTATGGCACTTCTCCCGCTGGCTGATCTCATCAATGACTTTTTTAACTGGCGACTATATTTTAGCAGTTTAGAAAATTTGAGAGATACTTCCAAAAGATATGTGGACAAAAATATTCATATATCTTTTTATTTTTGATAACAGTCACCCAAAGTCTTTTAGAGACTTCCTAATTTTCCTCTTAGCAGATTATTCCAGTTTAGGGCGCCTTCTGCTGTCCTCACAGGTGGGTTTAAAGGCCCAATAATAGGCTGCTTGTGAGAGTGGTTTATAAACTGTTGAGTTTACAAATCTAAACATGAAAGGCCAGGGTCTCAGAGGCCCCACAGTGCTCACCCACCAAGCTTGGCCAGACACATCTCTGCAGTGACAATCCTGAGCCTACCTGCACTTGACCTTCCTCCTCCATCTCCACCAGGACGAGGAGCCCGAGCGGCCCACAGGGGCCCAGGTCAAGCGCCATGCCTCCTCCTGCAGTGAGAAGTCCCATCGAGTGGACCCACAGGTTAAAGTCAAACGACACGCCTCTAGTAAGTCTGGGAGGAGGGGGTGGAGAGGGAGGCAGTGGGATCTGTTTCCTCCAAGGTTTGCCTCCAAGAAGGCTATTAATGAGCTGAGGTATGAGAAAATAGTCTAGACCTTGATCAGAGGCAGCTAGCTTGTGGCCTCAGAGAAGAAGGACAGGGAGTGGGGGGTAGGGGACTCTAAAAACTGGGAGTCTAGAAATCTAGACAGCATGTAAAATTATTTAATATTGACAATTAATTTTTAAAATGTTAATACTGAATAAGGCTAAATATGTGTGCATGTTTGTACACATACATGTATGGATACCTCCGTATCCCAGACCTACTCTCCAGCAAACCGTAATTACAGAAAATTACTAAAACAGTCATCTGAAGTCTCTGAAAATTGTCCTGAGGACATATAGCAACTAAAGATTTATCGTATAAAACACACTGTCAGTAAAAACCGTAACAGTCCATGGTTCTTGAGCTAAAACCTACTCCTTTACCCTTTTCCCAGCTTAGTGTAACAGAATCTTCATTCTAGGCAGATGTGAACAAGAAAACAGTTTCTTCTCCCCAGCTCAAGGGTTGTGGCAGCTCCCCATTTTTCATCACCAGCACTTCTCATACCCCCCACCCCCACCCCACTCTGCACCGCAGAAACTAAATTCCAGGTGAATACAGCTAAATGGAAGGGAGCTCCCTTCCCCTACCCAGCCCAGCTCATGGGGGAGAGGTCTGCCTGGGCCAGGTAGGCCAAGAAAACTGGGGTCCCAGCTGCCCTCCTTACAGCTCGCTCATAGGATGGAACTCTGCCGCTGGAAGAGGTAAGTCACAAAGACCAGAGGTTATGGTCCCTCACTGGCACCCTGCTCATAAAGCAAAACTGTCAGTCCAGGAGAAGCAGGCCATTGTCCCCATCCCTGAATTCAGAATAGTGGCTTAAAGATTTTGCCTGTGATGAGAGGCAGATCATATGAACTGAGAACTCCAAAGATCCTCCTCAAAAGAATTTACTTCAGTTGGAACAGAATGGAGAAGTTCAAGCCAAAGAATACGCTCAAGAACCATGGAGATTTGGTGGGAACCAAGATGAGAGGCCAGTGGCTCCCTGAGAGCAATAAGCTGAGCCCAAGACCAGCAGTGTCATTAGAGAGAATCAGTGAAGGAGACATCTGGGGCGAAACCAAAGACTGGCCTCTAGAGATGGCCTCTGAAATGATTGCAGTGGCTGAAATTAATAGGATCAGACTGGAGCATCTGATGCCAAGGCATTGTCAAAAACAACAGAACAAGCAGTTGGCTTTTTTTTTTTTTTTAAAGATTTATTTATTTATTCATATAGAACTGGGGTACAGGCCAGAGATGCGAAGAGTGAGAGGCTTCACCAGAGACAGAGCGGGGAGCAGAACAGTCAGATCGATGAAGTACACTGCTGAGGGGAGCAGCGGGCGGGTCAGGAGAGGTCTGCCGCACCATGTGGGTCACCTCCAGAGCAGGCGGGAATCGAACTCATGCGGAAGTGGCTTAAGCTTCTTAGTGCTGTGCTTTAACCCGCTGCGCCACCAGGGAGGGCCCGCAGTTGGCATTTTGTAGGTGTGACACCAGCGGCAGCAGGCAGCTGAGAAAGTCAGAAAGAAAGGCTTGTTAGGACCAGTGATATTTAGGGTACATGCCCGTTGGAGGGGCAATCAGGGGCTTCACCCTGCAGGAGAAAAGGAACTTCAAAGAGTCAACTAAGTCACCAAACAAGCAACTCAACCCAGGGGAGGGGTCAGCATCCAGAGATGCTGCAGTAAGTTCTCAGAAATGTTCAATTTTCCTTTTTTTTTTAAAGATATATTTATTTATGCATACAGAACTGGGATACAGGCCAGAGGTGTGGACAGTGAGAGGAGTCACCAGAGACAGAGTGGGGAGCAGAACAGGCAGATCAATGAAGTACACTGCTGAGGGGAGCAGCAGGCAGATCAGGAGAGGTCTGCTGCACCCTGTGGGTCAGCTCCCTGGCCAGGGATCGAATTCGCACTGAAGCAGCTGCAGCTGGCTTGTAGTGCTGCTTCCTAACCCATTGCGCTACCAGGGAGGGCCCTGAAATGTTCAATTTTCAACAACAACAAAAAAGTATGAAATCTGCAACAAAACAAGGAGGTGTGACGCCTAAGAAGGAGTCAAGCAGGCAACAGAAACTGAATGGCCCACTTAGGGAATTTAACAAAGACTTCAAAGCATCCATTAAAATGGTTTGAAGAACTACAGGAAACCATGCTTAAGCTTAAAGATGTAAAGGAGGATAAAATAAAATAGCTTATTAAGTAGAGAACATTAATAAAGAGAAACTTTTAAAAGAACTAAACAGAAATCATGACATTGAAAAGTAAAATAATTGACATGGAAAACTCACCGGAGGGACTGAACAGAAAATTTGCAATGGCAGATAAGTGAATCTAAATGTGAAGACAGATCAGTTGAAATTATACAGTCCGAAGAGCAGAAAGAGAAAGGAGTAATAAAAAAATGAACAACATTTCACAGAAATATGAAACTCCATTAAATGAGCTAATGTATAGGTATTAGGTATGCCGGGAGAGGAGAGCAGGAATACAATGTAAAAAGCATTAAAACAAATAATGGCTGAAAACTTGCCAAATGTATTGAAAAACATTAATATACACATCCAGGAAGCTAAGTGAAGGCCAAGTAGGATAAAGTCGGAAAGATCCACATGAAACACATCATTAAAATTCTAAACCCAAAGACAAGCAGAAAATCTTGAAAGCAGAAAAGTACATCAATTCATCACTTGCAAAGGATACCCATGAGATGAGCAGGTGACTTTTCATCAGAAAAAAATGGGGACGTGGGGGGGTTTCCCTTCAGATCACCTATGCAGTAATAAAATGGAATTAAGTACTGACATACTAAAATATTAGCATATTAGTCACCTGAGCAACATATACTCCTCTTATTTCCTATGGAATGGCAGATTTTTCTAGAAGGTTCTTGGGCAATTCTGAAGCAAAAGTTTTATCATTAATACTATGAAGCGAAGAGTAATGACTCTTTACAACTTATTAAAAACAATCTAGTTTACTTCTCCAACATTTGGGTGCCGCTATTTGAATACTGGAAGATGGGGTGTGAATTGCTCTCTGTGGTGCTGACACCAGGACAGCCTCTCCCAATGGGATGCACTTTCTGGTCTAGTCACTAAGACATTTCACTCATCTGCAATGAAAAGAGAAAAATAAACACACTGCACAAAGTGCGTGAAGTTTTCATAGAGCTAATGCAGAAGGGAAGGGGAAAATCAGGGATAACTCAGGTGAAAGAGGTCAACTGTAGAATGCAAGATAGAACTGAACTTTTTTTTTAAGATTTATTTATTTGTGCATACAGAAGTGGGGTACAGGCCAGAGGTGCAGGGGCCGTGAGAGGCTTCACCAGAGACAGAGTGGGGAGCAGAACAGGCAGATCGATGAAGTACACTGCTGAGGGGAGCAGCGGGCAGGTCAGGAGAGGTCTGCCACGCCTGTGGTCACCTCTGGGGCAGGCAGGGATCGAACTCATGCTGAAAAAATGGCTTTAGCTTCTTAGTGCTGTGCTTTAACCCACTGTGCCACCAGGGAGGGCCCAGAATTGAACTTTTAGTAGTGAATTTAATGTTGCATATACACGTGCTGGTATATAATGGTGTACATCTGAAACCAACAGAATTTTCTGCTATGTTATTTCAATAAATAAATAAAACATATCCTTTTAAAGTAAAAGTGTTATACATTACAAAGTTGTTTTATATTGCTAACATATATTAATATTTCTCATCATCATCATCTAACATTTACTAAGCATTTACTATTTGAAAGGTATTACACCTTCACAAGTTACTCAATTTAAACCTGTCCATAATGCTGAAGTAAATTTCCACAGTGTGGAAACTAAAGCCTGGGGGCAGACACAAAAACTCGCTTTTGCCTGATGTCAAACAACCAGTAAAGTGCAAAAAGAATGAAAAGCTTGACCGGTCAAGATCTAAAATGCTTGCCAAGTACCTGTGCTTTCCTTCCTCCCTCCCTGTTCTGTATTTCTCTAGAAGATTCGCAGCAGGCTTACCTAGGAGTACAGAACTAAGTATTTCCGTTGGATAGAGCGAAGTTGAGACTGAGAGAGAAGCTACCGCCACCCAGTTACCTTTAGCAGAGGTCAGAACTGAGTCCGTCTTCTGCCTCACATCTCTGCAGGTGCCAACCAATACAAGTATGGTAAGAACCGAGCTGAGGAGGATGCCCGGAGATACTTGGTAGAAAAGGAGAAGCTGGAGAAAGAGAAGGAGACTGCACGGACTGAGCTGATGGCGCTGCGGCAGGAGAAGAAGGAGCTGAGGGAAACTCTCCGGAGCAACCCAGGTACCTGCGCGTGTGGCCCGGGCAGGAATGGGAGGTGAGGGGGGTGGTCTGCACAGGTTTCCAACACAGGACAGGTGGGCTTCTCCTCCCCTTCCTCCACTTTCTCCTCATTGTCATCATCTCTCCTGGCTAGTGAAAGTGCCATCAGTTCATTAACTGCTTTGGTGAAAGGAGCGAAAAAAGCATCCTTAAAACATGTACACTTTACGTAGTAAAACGTTATCTCACTTAGAAATATTAAAATGTGGAAAGCAGCATGCCCTCGAATCTAGGAAAAGGAGACATCATTCTGAACAACACATTAGCGCATTCATTCACAGATAGGTGCTGAGTGCCGGGCTGAGAGACATTGGTCCAGCGACTGGGACAGTGACACTCTGCCAGAACTCTCCTCTGAAATCCAGGGCCATGACCTCCACAGACCCTGCCCGCTGTAGGCTCTCTGTGCCCACTCTCTGCTGTTTCCTTTGAGTTCTTGCTGTAACTACAGTTCAGCACTTTCAGCCAGCAGATGAATGAAGGGAGCAGAGGTCCTGTCCTTAGAGAATATGACCAAGATCACACAGTGCATGAGAACCCAGTGGAACCTGTGACCCAGTTCATAACATTGCAGTTTTAGGAACTCATGCATCCTCTCAACACCACCCATACATTGCCTAGGAATTCATCAGCCTCAGATCGAAAATATCTGGATTAAAGGATTTGACTTTGTGCTGTTTGGTTAAGGGCTAGAATCAAGAAAGGGAGGCAAAGGAAAGTAATTTGGTTTTAATATAAGGAGTTTTATAAGAGTCTGAATCAGGGTTTGGAGCAGACTGACTATTCTCTTTGTCTTGGTCAGGTTTTCTTTATAGCACATCACTTTGTACATTAGATTATGTTGTTTCTCTCCCTCATGCACACACAAATATTAAGTTCCACAAGGGCAAGGATCTCTGCATGTTTTGTTCATTGATATATCGCATAGGCCCCTAATAGTAGCAATACTATTCAATACTCAGTAAGTATTGAATGAATGAATGAACAAAAGAATAGTTCAAACAAATAAGAATTCCCCATTACTAGAAAACGCTCCAGAGCAGCCTCTGTCAGACAAAAATGGAACTAATTTTTAAACCTGATGAGACCCAAAACAGCTTTTGGTGTGAAGAAAGTACTGATATAGGTGTGTTTGTTTAAACTGAAAGAGCCACAACATCCTAGTAGGAACACCTGGTCAAGGTAAAGGGTTATATTCGTTTACAAGAAAAATCATGGACAAGTTGGCTTAGAAATGAAGAAAACTAAAAATGAGCAATCAATCAAATATAGTGAGGTCCAGGGATTTAAGTGACGTCTCCAGTAAGCATATTCTCTCGCCCTTGTGTCTGCCTTCCTGTACCAGATTTCATTTTCTGCCTCATGATGATATAGTGGCTGCGCAGCTCCAGCCCTCACTCAGTCCTCTCAGCCACTGCAGCAGAAAGAACTTCTCTCCCCAATGATTTCCACAAAAGCCACAGGATTTACTCTCCCTAGAGCAACTATGATCCCTAAACCAATCTCTGGGACCAGAAAATTAGATACAATTATGGATCAAGTCTGAGCTATATGTCAGACCCTTCAACTAAGAGTGAGATTAGCTCCACCAAACATTAGGGAATGGGAGAAGAAAGGTGGCTTCCCTGTGGGAAATCAGGACTTTGTATCTAGAAGACTGAGAAGTGGGTACTTTGCAGATAAAAACCTGCCCAATGGAACTCAGACCCCTTAACTAGGACTGAGGGATGAGAAGAGGGGACAGACTAAGTCCTGAGGCTTTCCCAGAAAACCTGATGCTTCGGGCCAGGCTCAGCTGTTTCTCACCCATGTCTTTGGAAACAGGAGAAAAATTAAAGGCTCTGGAGGAGGCCATGGCCACCCTGGAAGCTCAGTGTCGAGAAAAGGAGGAGCGCCGGATCGACCTGGAACTGCGGCTGGTGGCTGTGAAGGAGCGCTTGCAGCGGTCCTTGGCAGGGGGTCCGGCACTGGGGCTCTCAGTGAGCAGCAAGAACAAGGGTGAGGTGAGTCCACTTCCTCTATTAGTGCTGGCAGCAGCTGCTCTGTAAGCCCCTCACCTGCTGCAGGTCTTCCTGGTCATTGACCTATGAGTCTGTGCTCATTTTCAGATGAACAAAACATCGTTTTCAGAGGGGGACCAAAGAAGGCCCAGTTAGGAAGGGGAGTGTTGGAGTTAGAGCAAGTTCCCTGGCCTGGGTTCTATCTGCTGAGGTCTCACCATATGGCTTTTTATCCTGAATACAGTTTTAAGTAGTGATCTTTAGGTTATGCATGATAGTAACAATGGCTACTGTTGGATCCGAGTAACAGAGACAGAGCGGGGAGCAGAACAGGCAGATTGACGAAGTACACTGCTGAGGGGAGCAGCGGGCGGGTCAGGAGAGGTCTGCCACGCCATGTGGTCACTTCCGGGGCAGGCGGGAATCGAACTCAAGAAGAAGCGACTTAAGAAAAAAAGTGCTGTGCTTCAACCCGCTGCACCACCCGGGAGGGCCCGTTCAGCGGTTTTGACTGACATGCTCAAGGTCACTCAGCTAAGTGAGAAACAGGATTCCAAATCCAGAAATTCTGACTCCAGAGCACTGCTCTGGCCACTGTGGAACATGTGTACAAGTGCCATGCTGTCTGTCTCTAGGGCCTGGGTCCCTTATCTCACAGGCTCTGAGAAGCAGATACTCTCACCTCGAATGAGACTCCTCCAGTCCACTTGTGTGTACATGTACATATACATACATACATATACACATAACTACACAAATATGTATGTTTGTCTAACATCTGCCTGTCCTACTAGATTGTTCTTGTTTGATTATCATTATAGCTTTAGTACTTTATAGGGTCTGAAAAATGGCAGTGCAGTGAGTGTTCGTTGAATGAATAAATGTTACACCTGACTTCAGACCAGGAAATTGAGAGATTAGCTAGCTGGTCTGGTAAGTGTGAGTTGTCCCATATTCTTATGGTTACTGTCCTCTATCACACTGTCAGACCAGACCCTGATGTCTCGAAGCCAGGGCTGTTCCTTCACCCCCTACACTCCCTCTCCATGGGGCATGCCCAACCTCATTTACAGATGAAGAGCTTAACATCTGGGGACATAGTGACTTCCCAGAGTCTCAGAGGGCAGGTGAAAGGGCTAGAGTGGTTTCCTCATCCTTGTTCCTTCTCCTGCTAGCAAGCCCTGAAGTTCCCATTCCAGAACAGGGATCCACTTTGGATCCTTTGGATGGCCTTAGGATATAAAAAGAAGTCTTCTCTGCAGCTTTAATTATTAATATACCACATAGAAGGAACTACATACTGTGAAGTAATAACCAGTTATCTGGAAAATGTTAAGGGGTGCTGAAAATGAGAAGAGAAAGTTCAAGGAGTAGGGGGGTGGAGTCTGACTTGGGGCTCTCACTACCAGGTGCTCTCGGGCTGTGACTTGGCCTTCCCATTTTCCTTACCTGTAAAATAGGATGACTGATAATAGTAAGATCCCCAAGGCATAGTGAGACTGAATGAGCTAATCCACACAACGCCTGGCATTGTGGAATTCTTGGATATGAAGGAATTCTTGAATATATATTTTGCTGGTGCCATCATTTTCACCACCACTACCTTTACTCCAAGGCCCTTACCCAGTTTGGTGTGGCATGTTTGCACAGTGCCTTCTGTTTACATTCTCTGGAGTATACATGCCCAGTGTGGCACTAGACCTCACCTGTGTAATTATGTCTTGTCATCTACAGGAAACTGCAAATAAACCCCAGAACCACACCTCAGAGCAACCTCTCCCTGTCAACTGTGTTTCTGAGCTGCGGAAGAGGAGTCCATCCATCGTAACCTCCAACCACGGAAGGGTGCTTCAGAAAGCCAAGGTACAGCAGTCAACATTCAGAGATCTGCAGCTTTAATGTAGAATGTCAGTAGGAACCCCAAAATCAGCTAGTGAAAAGGGCAGAGAATTGCCAGTAATACCCAAAGAGTAAAAA